GCTTGAAAGACAACTTGTTGTTTATTAAAACAATATGGAGGGGAGGGGGGCCTGAGGCTCAAGGCCACCAGGTCAACAAGGCACAGCGACAGCCCTTCTCTACACACAGATTTGTCTGCCAGGACTGGTGACACAGGGGGAAATTCAAAAAGAGACATGACACAGGATCAGCCGCCTCTGGTTACAGTGCGATACGAGGTGAGCACAATTATAGATGATGCTCGTTCACGGGACTTTGCAGGGTCGGGGAGCCTCAGCCTGTGGGCGCCAAGCCTGGGGATGGACCCGCGGCTCTGCGGCTAATTTAGTGGCTCACTCTGGACGGGTTGCTCCAATGCCCTGGGCCTCGGACGCGTCTGCTGGAAAATGAGGTGTTTGGACCAAATGATTTCTGAGGTCCTTTCTGTTCTTGGAGCCTCCTGTGGGAAAGGGAAGCGGGGTAGCCCACTGTCAGGGGAGCAGCCAAAGTGGGCGACTGAGAGGCAGGAGAGGGTTAGGAAGGTGCTTTCAGGTAACGGGAAATGCGTAAAGAGGAGGCAGCACCTGGTCAGACCCCTTCCAAGGAAACCATTTACTCAGCGCACATTCCCGTTGGGGAAGAAGCTGGCTGGATTTCCTCCTAGGCGCCCTCTTCCTGGGCAGGGCAGAAGGCTGCCCTCTGCAGGGCTGCACTGGGCCCTGGGGCAGTCGAGGGGGGGAGGGGGGAGGGAGAGGGGAGGGGGAGCTGAAGCCTCAGGACAAGAAGCCTCCTCTCTTCCAGACGCCCCCGCCCCGCAGAGGGGCAGCGCCCTAGGAGCACCCTGGTCCTGCTGACCTGCTGGACTCCAGTCCTGCTCAAGCAAAGCTGACGGGGGTGCAGCCACCCGGATGGAGAAAACTGATCCCTTCCAACCCCGAATGATCCCCGTCCACACCTAAGGAGCGCACTGGCGGGGAGCGCGGCCCTCCTGCAGCACGGACGCCACACTCCTGCCCTCCGGCCCCCTGTGCTTTCTTTTCGGGCAGGAGGACGCGAGCTGCTGGAGCAGGGAGTGTGGAGAGGCGCTGTGGGCCCAGCCTTGCGCTCTGCTCCTGGAGGGGGGCTGGCTGGCAGGAGGAGGCACACACTATGGTCGGCTCCCCACAGGAGAGGGGTGTCTGTCTCATTTGGGGTCTGATCTTAGGAAGCCTGGTGGCCACAGGCACAAGTGCAGATGCCCCACCACTAGCTCAACCCGTGAAAGAGGTGCTCTTGTGGCCTTTGCCCACTTCTTCTTTTAATTCTCAATTGACTGAGCCCAGTGGTTCTCATTTTAATAAGCATCAGTATTACCCGGAGGGCTGGTGAGACCACAGATGCGGGCCCCACCCCCAGAGCGTCTGATCTAAGGCTCAGGGTGGGGCCCTGGACCGTGCAGCCCTGCCAGGTGCACAGGTGAGGCTGCTGGACTGGGAGCCCACTTACAGACCCAGGGGCGCTGGACCGAGAGGTGGTCTGTTCACTGGTCCCCTCAGTCTCCAGAACTGAATGTTCTCAAGGATGAGTCAGCCGAGCGCCCTTCCCTCAGCGGGGGCAGGCGCACATTCTTTGGTCCGTATGAGTCATTCTCACAAATCAATGTCCTTTTCTAGCCCACGGCCTTGGGCAGGAACAAATGGTGACGGATTATACTCATTTCTGTTTAAGTAGAACACAAGATGAATCAATGCTGGCCGTAAATCAGCCCTGAGATGCCAATTTAAAAACAGAATCCAACACACAAATGTGGTTCTCCTTTGATAAAGTCTTGCAGAGCACAGTGCACAAATCAACACTTAATAGGGGCTTCCGGAAAATGCAGAAGCAAGTGCATTTAAAACACTTTTCATTGAAATTTAAAATACAAACATTGGCAGATTGGTGGACAGCGTGAAGAATCTTCACACACTGAATGCACCAGTGGAATCAGCACGAGACCAGAAAGAGAGCATTTATTCCCCACAAAGTTCCGCATGCTTTTCTGAGTTCCCAGATCCTCCTCCAAGGGGAAGTATGCTCTTGAATTCTAAAAGGGGAGCTATGTTTTACAACTGCGGACTTAATATAAATGCAGCCATTCAGAATGTACTCTTGAGTGAATGGTTCCTTTTACTCAGCAAACTCAAGGATTCTTAAAACTCACTTGCATCTCATCTGCCTTGTCGCTGACCTCCTGGCTCTCCACTCTGGCCTCTCTGGCCGCTGCTGTAGGGCTGGGCCCCTCTCCCCACCCCACTGCCCCACCCTCTGTGCGGTTCCAGCAGAGCCAGTCCTGCCTCGCCTGTCGGCATCTGGGTGTCCCTTCTCCAGGCCTTCCCACAGGCTCCCCGCCCCCTTGAGAAATGTGCCCCATTTCTATTAGTCAGGATGGGCGAGGCTCTAGCCTGGTCCCCCACAATGCCCACACCTCCGAGGCTCATCCCTGGCTCTGTGTGTGTCTGAGGGCAAATTGCTCCTCACAGGTCTGCAGGCACTTGGTTTTCCCTGCACCGTGCAGAACACGTAGTCTCCTCGGCAAGTCACAGAGGGATGGAGACTGGAGAACCCTACATGGGCTTCCCACCACCTCCATCTCGTATGAAACTTGTCTCTCCTGCTCATCTTCCATTGCTCGGAACTAGTCAGATGACCCCTCTTTGCACCAGCAGGGCTGGGAGAGGTCGCGGAGCCCGTGGACCATTTGCAGTATCACTGCAATTCGCTGTTCGTTGCAACTCTTCCAGGCCAGGTCATGTCCTCTCTTGCCCTTGGGCACTCTCCATGCTCCCTCTCCTCCTCGTTACCCTGCAGTGTTTATATTCTGTATTCCACCAGCTCTCAACCAGGGCGATTTTGCCTTGCAGGGGACATTTGATGATGTAATAGGAGACACTTTTGACTGTTAAGACCTGGGGCGGGGGTTTGTACTGGCATCCAGTAGGGAGAGAACAGGGATGCTAATAAACATTTTGCAGTGCCTGGGATGGCCTCCTCAAAGCCCCAGAGGTCCTTGGCTCCACGGCGAGAGCCCCGGTGTCCTCGGTGCCACTTCCCTTGTGCACAGATCTCGCGTTACTCCCACCAGATTGCAACTGCATGGGAAAACAGTCATGGGGCCAGGCTGGACTGTGGCCTGTGGCCTGTGGCCTGTGGCCTCTCCCTTCCAAGGGGGCCCGATGACACTAAAAGAGGAGAAGTGCAGAGGCGACCAGAGTATGAAGAGGTAGCAGAAAAAGAATGGGACCAGAGCAGTTTATCCAGCCTCCTCCCCAAAGACAGCAGGCCCCAGGTGGAGCGTCTTACCCCCAGACCCTCACTGCGCACAGGCCAAAACTGACCTCAGTGTGCCCCCCAGAGGAGCCGGGGCCCTGGAGTGTGACCACGCAGACCTCTTGCATCTAAATCCAGCTCTGCTGTGTGACTTTGGGCAAATCATTCAACCTCTCTGGTCTTTAATTTCTACCTTGTAAAAGAATAAGTTGATTTCTACTGCATATATTCTTTTCCTCCCCAGATAAAGTATGTAGGTGCTCAAAACCCATTTTTGGTTTCTTTTGGCTTAACTTAATGCATTGGTGCTAGTCAGTGTCC